CTCATCAAGCTGAACCACCATGGTGATATGTGAGCCAGCAGTCCAGTCCTTGATTCCACTCCTAGATAACATCCCCAAAGGATGTGAAAGCAGAAACAGAACTCTGATGTTATTAAAACTCTGCTGTGGGTTGGAGCTGACTCCCAGCTGACCCTCTAGCAAGCTTTCAGAGGCTAGAAATGCAGTGGAGACTAGCCATCTCGCCACTGTGCACCCCCTGGTGGAGTCGGCCTGCCAAACCAGGTGCTGCCATCAGACATTCAGGAAGCCAGGAAGCATACAGGGAAATGTGTTCATGAAGTCATTCACACCCAGCCCCCCTCCACTGGATTTCCAAAACTATCTATCTTTATAAGAAGGCAGGTCACTGTCCCTTCTTTTTCTCATGGAGCAGCTAGTGGTTACAACTGCTGACCTTTTGGTGAATAGCCACACACATTCATTTGAAGGATGCACATAAAACTAACAGTAAGATCTCACCTCAGCACTAATAGCCAAGTTCAGTAAGACAAAACAACAAAGCTGTAAAGGTTTTGCAAAACTGGCTCATTTGCTGCTGGTTAAGACTAAATTAGTACAACTACTGTGGTTGTGTACCATCAAGTTGGAACCGACCCCATAGCTGACCCTCCTGCTGGTTTTCAGAGGCTGTAATTGTACAGGGAGAGACTGCTTGTCCTTCTCCCGCAGAGCAGCTGGTGCATTCAGACTGCGTGCGTTTGGGTTGGCAGCACTAGACCACCAGACTATGGCCCCTCCTTATAAAATATGAACTAGTACGCCAGTTGATCCTGAAAGCCCACTGCTGGGTACACAGACATTGCAGGTGATGAACAACAGACAAGCACCCGCATTAACATAGTAGTAGCAGAGAGCTGGAAGCAAACTGACTGCTCATCTAGAGGTGGAAAAGCCTTATTAGCAGATGAGCACATACATTTTCCTGGGTGACATCCAAAGATGTCCTGCTGAGTGAAGTAGGTCCTGCACGGAGGGACAGCTGGTATAAGCATCCCCTGCATCCTTGCCATCAGGCAGGAGCTAGCTCCTAGCTGGCCCTGCACCAAGTTTTCAGAGGCTGTAAATCATGGGGGCGGAGATGGCCTGTTTTTCTCCCTGGAGCCAGTGGTGGATTCCCACAAGCTGAAGAGCATTGTTGGGTTGGCAGTGCTTCTCTCAGACCACACCCCCAAAGCCCCGATCCTGTATGCTCCAAACAAACAGCAAAATCTCTGCTTACCATGGGGGAGGTGGCGCTGGCTGACTGCACCCAGCAAGCTTGACAACAGTTCTGAACCCTGCCCTGTCGTGTGGCTCTCATCTGTGATGCACTTGAACCCAGTGCTGCAGTCTGTTAATAACACCTCCTTGAGGGGAGGGAGAGGAGAAGGAAAGTTAGATAATAGACACATAGGAAGATGTTTAGGGGAAAAGCTAAAATAATGGGTGATTGTCTAAAGACAACAGAGCTGTGCAGGCATCAGAGATGAGCCCACTACTGCACACACACACTCATTTGTATGATAATGCCAAGAAAACAAGTCTGTCCTAGGGAGAATGAAACCAGTTTACTCCTTAGAGGTAAGGATTTGAAAGCTCTGTCACATATATGTTGGGCATGTTGTGAGAAGGGACCAGTCCTTGGAGAAGGACATAATTGGAAGGGTGGAGGGACGGACAGCAAAGCAGAGGAAGACCCTTGGTGAGATGGATAGACACAGTACCTGTGGCACTGTGGCCAGGTATGTCAGAGAGGATTGGCTCAGGACAGGGCAAGGTTTGGAGTCCCTGCATTCATCTTGGTAGCACAAAACATAGGGACCCCCACAGGCTTAGAAGGAATCAGAAGATAAAATTATCTTCTTGTAATTAAAAGGTAACCTACAGACGGTGGAAAGGTATTTGGCAATGGCATTTCTGACAAAGGGACTCATCTCTCAAATTTACAGGAAAGTTATCTCAACAACAAAAAGCTAAAACACCCAATTACAGAAGGGGCAAAAGACATGGATAGACACTTTGCAGAGAAAGATACTCACCTGGCCAGCAATCACAAGAAGTGCTCAAGATTAAGCAGTCCCAGAAGTGCAGATAGAAACAGCAGTAGCAGCGCTCAGCAAGGCCGTGGACAGCAGATATTAGCGAGGGTGTGGAGGGATTGGAACATTCAGGGACTTGTGATGGGAATGGGAAATGATGCGACCACGATGGAAAGCAGTTTCATTTTGCCACTCTCTCCCTAACGAGAGTTAAGCTTAATAGATATACCCTTTGACTCAGAATTCCTACTATTGGTATATATCCCAAAGAATGAGATCTTTCCCATCAACAAATGAATGCACAGAAAAGAATATAGTTACACAGGACTACTATGCAGCACTGAGAAAGGAATTCAAAATACTACAAAACATGGATGACTTTGAAGAACATGCTTAGTGAAATATCTCAAAGGACAAATACTGCATAACATAATACAAGACTGACATGGGAATTGGGGGTGGGGGGAGTAAGGGGATAAATAAAGAACACTGCATTGGAGGGAGCTCTAGTGGCAAGAAGCTGTGCTGCAATCCCAAAGGTATGCAGCTTGAACCCACCTAATGCTCCACTGGAGGAGGGCAGTTGGATCCAGTTTGATAGTACACAATAAGAAAAAAAGAAAATGCATTGAAACAGATGAAGGAAAAGAACTTTAAAAGGAAAATGTGATTAGGCATCTGTATGACAACAGTTCAAAACAAAAGGTGCATAGCAGAGTGGACTGGGGGGGAATTACACACCAATAAATTTTTTAAAAAATGAATGAGTAGGGGAGAAAATGTGCAACAATGCATGAAAATAAAACCTTTCTGTAAACTTCTGTTAATGTCACACAAAAAATGAGATCTGAGGCATGGACAGATATGTACAGACACCAGTGTTGACTGCATTATTTATAATAGCAAATACAAACAACCCAAGTGACTATCGGGACAGATGGCTAAAGAAGCTAGGGTACAGGCACACTGATGTACTGTGCCACGTTTTAAAATCCAGTGAACACTGCCTAACAGATGCTCTAGGGGACACTTTGCTAAGTAAGGCAGTGACAAGTGGGCAAATACTACAAAAGGTTGGACATAAACCAAGCCAAGGCTTACACAGGATCTTGAGTGATCACCAGGGATGGAAAGGTACAGTGAGGAGACTGAAAAAACGAATACAGAACAGGCTACATTAAGATGGGTGAAAGGAAAAGTAGCATCCAGTAAGAGGATGGTCCGCACAGTGTCATCAAAGAGAAGGCAGATCCGAAAGCGTAGGAGGATTCTTGGAAATCAGAACTGTAAGGAGGGAAATGTGCAACTGGACTGATGCTACTGAAAAATGTATATGAATGGCTGCATGAAAAACAATCTATAAACTCAAATCACATACTGTTTAAATGTAGAACCTGTGATGATAGCCTACCAGAAACCAAGGGTGGTGCATTTTACACGTTTGATGCCTTCGAGTCTTAGATGACTCATAGCGACCCTGTGAATGAACAGCCTGAGCACTGTTCGTGCATAGTTTCCGGGGGCAAGCCATTTCGGAAGTGGATGCTGCAAAATCAATCCAGAGAATAATGATTAGAAAGAAAAGTTCTAGTTTTTAGAAAAGATTGTTAACAAGCAAAAATATGCCATGTATTTAAAAAAAAAAACTTAAAGGTACTATGAGGAAGAGATAGACTACAAGTGGAAGAGTTTTCTATTACGATCTTTAGGTAAATCCTAAAATTGGCCAAATAGTAGTGAACCATCAATAACCATAAAGAAGTTGAAAAATTCAGATAATTTTTTAGATTACAGGCTTTGGACTGTTTTATGGGAGGATTTTATCAGTCTTCAAGAATCATTCCTACGTTATAGCAAGTGTCCTAATACAGAACCAGCGATGACCAGCTACACCTTGCTGGGTCAGTCAGGACCACAGCACAGCAGCCACTCTGACACTTCAGTATCAAAGCCTTGTGCATGTAAACTAGAGGTTCTTTACCCTAAAAACACAATGAATATGTACTTGAGGTTGTCACTGCAGTATAGTGCGAAACCAAGGATCAGAAACCTGATGTAAATATAAGTACAATTAGGAACAGAGTCTTAAAGTCATAAACTCAACAGTAGTGAAAATTCAGGAAGTCAGGAGCAGACTCTAAGATTCTGACATGTATTTCTATATAGTCATAAAAGTGCACTCGGAAAATCCACTTTAAAGGACCTGGCCTAATCCCTGAAGAACAATGATGTTATTTTGAAGACGAAGGTGCACCAGTTTGAGGCCATGTGCTTTCGCGTCACTTGCTGGCATCCGCGAGTTGGACGGTGAATGACAGTAATAATTGACTTGAGATGCGGGGCTGGTGAAGAGTACTGAATGTCCCGTGGGCGGCCGGAAGAACCGTTAAGTGTTGGAGAAGGTGCAGTCAGAGGGCTGCTTGGAGGCAGGGATGGTGAAGCTTTGTCTCATACTGGGGGCAGGTTGCTCAGAGTCTTGGTTGGAGAGTGACCTCATGCTTGGAAAGGTGGAGGGTCAATAAAAGTAAGACTCAAGATGGACTGACAGTAGCTGAAGAAATTGACACTCAATGTGTCAGAGATGATGAGATTAGACCGGTTCAGATCTGTTGTCCTCGAGGGTCACTGGGTCGTACATGACTCAGTGGCACCTGACATTCAACTGGAGGAACAATGATCTTTTCATATAGCAGCTGTCTCTGAAGAAAGAGGACAGTTAAAATAGTTAAGCTATGTAGTGACTTTTTCGTTTTTCAGAAAACACTGCATTTTTTTTTTTTCAAAAATATTTAAAAAAAAAAAAAAAGAGGACAGTACTGAGCTGTGTGGCTTTTACAACATTTGTGACTTGTGCCAAAAGTTGTAATGATGGCAGAGGACAGAGCATGGGGGAGCACTGCGGAGGCTCCCGAGGGCTGTCTCTCTGCCCGCTGACCCGTCTTCCCCGTCCTCTCCCGGCAGGTGCAGACCAGGCCTGTGTCACCGCCCGGAACCACATCCAGCTGGTCAAGTCACAGGTGCAGGAGGTTCGCCAGCTGTCCCAGAAGGCAGAGACCAAGCTGGCCGAGGCCCAGACGGAGGAGCTGCGGCAGAAAACGCGGGAGGAGCGCGAGGAGCAGGCCGGGCCGGAGCCAGAGCCGGAGGCCTACCTGAGGGAGGACTGAGGCCGCCTTGGGCCCACGGCCATGTCAGCTGCTGCAGTGCCCGAGTGACATGGGCTGGCCACCACGCCGGGGCCAAGCGGCACACCAGCCTCCTGCTCTGGACCCCGCTCCACAGTTCACCCCTCCACACTGCTGCCTTCAGCCCAAAAAGTTCCTCAGCTGCCTGCCTGGGAGGGAAGAGGGCAGTGGGTCAGTTTAACTTGGTTTTTGACCTGAACGTTTTCAGCTGTGATTTTGTTTGCTCTTGATAAAGGGGTGTGTTTGGGGAGGCCGCCCTGTGTGTCTAGGGTCTCCGTGAATTTTCTGATGCCCACTCAGGCCGAGGGGGACACGGGTCTCTGACTGTTCCTTTGCCTTTGGGTCTGTAAAATCCAAGGGAGAAGATTTTTTTGCATTTAAACTGTGTCTGTGTCCTTCCGTGACTCCGTCCCCCAGGGACCCTCAGCTCCTCATCACGCGCACACGTCAGCCAGGTCTCAGAGGTTTAATGGAGGGGACACAGAAGGTCACAGAGGGCCCCGGCGCAGGGCGGCGGCGCAGCGCAGCCCGTCGTCGGTCACCAGCGCCCACATGGTCCACATCTCCAGGGCGCTCAGGCGGTGCACCAGCAGCAGGCCCCGGTACAGGCAGGGGTCCAGCGGGTCGAGCGGCCGGCGGATGCCGAAGGTCTTGAAGCCCGCGTGGTGCGTGGGGCTGAGGCCCAGCCGGCGCAGACACATGCCCACGAACACGTCGTCGATGGGGAAGAGCTCGGCCGCCTCCACGGCCACACGCAGGCGCTGCACGGTGGCCCTGGACATGAGGTAGCCGCCGCCCCCCGCGTAGGGCGGGTAGTGGGGCGCCGGGTACATGGAGGCCGGGATGAAGTACTTGACCTTGGTGTTCCTGTTGGGCAGGGCCTGGCGGATGACGTCGCCCACCAGCAGGTCCTGCGCCGGGTCGCGGCCGTCCAGGAACTCCAGCACGTTGGGCACGTGGACGAACACGTCGTCGTCGCCCTTGAGCACGAAGGCGGCCTGCGGGCAGGAAGCGGCCAGCCAGCGCTGCAGGTGCAGCTCCTTGAGCGTCAGGTTGAAGAAGTCCTCGGCGAAGTCCCACTGCAGGACGTCGTCGAACTGGCGGCTCTCGTAGGCCAGCAGCTGGGCGGGGGGCGCGGGGCCGGCCACCCCCAGCAGGAACACCAGCTTGAGGCGCCGGCCCCCCGCGCGGCCCCAGGTCCCCCGGATGGCCGCGCGCCGCTCCACGTGGCCGGGCTGCGACTTGATGGCCAGCAGCAGGCGGGTGTCCGCGGCGCAGGCCGAGGGCTCGAGCAGGACCGAGAAGTTGCGGCAGTGGCGATAGGTCAGGAAGAGGCGGTGGCGGCCGGGCAGGCCCAGGGAGGCGTTGGCCAGCGTGCGGTTGGGCGGACACCGGCTGTGGCGGGGCCCCGGGGGCGCCCAGAAGGGCTGGCGGGCGGCGCTGCCCCCCGACGGCCTGGCCTCCTTGCTGAGGAAGAGGAGGCCGCTGAGCAGCAGCCCCGCCAGGCCGCAGAGCAGCAGCCGGCCCAGGCCGCGGAGCATGGCCGTCCTGCGGGGAGAGGACCCGGGGAGGGGGCGGTGAGGGCCAGGGCGCCCCGCCGCCAGGCACCCCGCCTCCTGCCTTCCTGTCGGCAGGTGGGGGACCTCGCCCAACGCCTGACCCGGCTCACGTCTGGGGTCGGAGCTGTTGTGGGCAGTCCGCGCGCAGTGGGCGGGAGACCTGGAGACCGCGGCGTGGGAGGCGCGCTGGGCACCGCCGAGATCTGGGTTTCCCAACGGCCCGGGACACACCCGAATGCCCTGAAGGCAGGCGAGGGCGGACAAGCCCGCAGGTTCCCCGCCACCCCCATCCCACGGCTCTGCAAGGGGAAGTCCAGCACAGCCGGGACGATGCCCGGGTCCATCCTCGCCAGGACAGGCCAAGGGCCCAGCGTCCCACTCAGGTCCGGGCCCCGCACACCTGCCTGGCGTGGACCTCCCTCCTCCCCCACTCCCCCACAAGTGGCGTCCAGCTCCGGGGATGCAGAGGGACCCAGCCTCGCTGGGACGAGACAGCGACGGACACGCCACATAAGGGGCCGCAGTACGAAGAGCCGAAGTGCTGGGCGGAGTAGGAGCTAGTGACCGGAGCCAAGGGAATGACAGACGGAAACCTGGGAATGTGCGCAGCTGGCCCGTGGACTCGCCCTGGGGGACTGCCGGTGACAGCAGCGCCGGGGACGGCGCTGGAACGCACGGTTCACACAACGCCTCCTTTCCCCTCAGCACTTAAACATCTGCCATAGGGCAGACGGCATCTGCCATAGGGCAGACGGCAACCGCCACGGGGCTGAGAAAGGGGAACAAAGGGCGGTGCGCTCGTCAAGGGCCACGAGAGAGACACCAGCGGTTACGGTCCGCTCCCTGAAGGTTCCAGCAAGGAGGTCAACCTTTCCCAACGTTGTTGCAATTACCGACCCAAAGCAGGGCTTGCGCGGACGCCCCCGGAACCGCTCGCTGCCCAGGGGGCGGAGAGGGGCCGGGCGGGCGCGCACGTGGACACTCCCCCCCGCTCGTACTCACCTGCGCTGCGCGCGCCCCCGCCCCCTAAGGGTCCGCACCTGAGCTGTCAACGCAATTGCGGCCCCTGAGCACCTGCACCTCTGCACCTGCGCTGCGCACGCCCCACCGCCCGCGAGCTCGAGTCCCGGCTCCGGACTGGGCGCGGACGACATGGGGCGCGCCCTCCCCCCTCGTCAGCAAACTCTCAGACCACCAGGACCCTCCCAGAGACCCCAATGGAAAAGGAAGGGCTGCACGCATTCCGGCCACAGGCATCACGCCTGCGTCCAGGTCGGGCACCGGGACTCAGCCTGCGGGTACCGGGTGGCCCGAGAGACGCTGCCCTCAGGGCGTCCAGGTGCGACGCCCCGTGCGCAGTGACTGAGGGGCTGGAGCCCTGGTGCACAGGTGTCCGCGGCGTCCCTCGACGACTGGGCAGCGCGCTGGCCTGGTCGTCCCTAGTGCAGGTCCCCGTGCACGAGTCAGATCTCATGCCCCACCAGCCTACCTGAGCGGTGACGCCGGGCGAGGACAGCGAGAAGCGCAGCGGAGCCCGGACCTATGTCCAGAGCGCTCTCTGCTTAGGTGGGCGCGGGGCTGACCACACCTCCTGCGAGGGCCCGCCCCCAGCGTGCGGCAGTCCCACCCCACAGTGAGGGGCCCAATGAAGTCCTGCCCCCACCTGCGGCCCGAGTGAAGTCCCGCCCCCCGCCGGCGTGCACACCCAATGGCGCGCCCCACTTACGGGCGTGCCTAACCTGAGGGGCGGGGCCCCGTGACTAGTGGCGTTGTGGGGGCGGGGCTACGCGAGAGATCACTGGCGGCCGCACCCACGGACCGCACCCAGAGCCTGCACCCGCGTGCCTACCCACGTGCCCGCACCCCGCAGCACGACCCCCGTGCCCCCTTCACAAGCAGCAGCATCGCAGAGACTCTGGACTTTGGTGACAGCCTTTAAGGTCGCTACACGGAGTAGGCCCTGATGGCCTCCTCGGCCGTGCGGCACTGGCTCAGCTGGATCTGCACCTCCACCGTCAGCGGATCGGGCTGCTGGTCACCCTCGCTCAGCAGCGACACGCCCTGGTCTGAGGGGGAGACAACTGGAACTCAGCCGCTCAGAGGGCACCTCCTGAGCCCCCAGCCGAGAACACCTCCCACCTAAACCGGCTGGTGCTCCAAATCCAAGGCCTCCAGGCCGGCCACGCCTCTTGCCTAATGGCCATCGGCGGGATGACATTGTGCCCCTCCGCGCGCTGGGTCAGTGCCAGCGTGGCCACCGCTGGGCAAGGACTCTGCAGCCTTGCGGTGTCCTTCCCTGCACTGGTGGGGCCAGCCCACTGCTCTGGACAGCGTCCTACTCTAAATGAACGGAGCAGAGTGGCCACAAGCATTCTGCACCACGGGACCCCTCCGGAGAGCAGCCGCTGCATTCAAACTATCAGCTTTGGGGTTGGCAGCATAATGCTTAACCAGTGTGCCACCAGGACTCTATCTCCATTCGTAAGGGAGTTCTGGTGGCCTAGTGGTAAGGAGTTGCACTTCCATCCCAAAGGCACCCGGTTCAAATCCACCAGCTGTTCCACGGGACATAGATGGGCACCCTCCTCCTGTCTGAAAACCTACTGGAGGGTCAGTTTATTGGTCAGTTCCAACTGAAATGTACACAACAACAAACATCCCACCGTGTAGGACAGAGCAGACTTGTCCCACAAGGTTCCCATGACGGTCAATCCAAGAAAGCAGGCTGCCTCATCTCTCACAGAGGGTTCCACCAGGCGACCTTTCACAGGCCACGTGCCCACAGCCACTGCACCAGCAAAGCTCCTCGCCTGTGTAATAGGACTGTCCAAATGTTGTTTTGACCTTACTCCAACTCCTAGCGACCCCAGATGGAAAGCACACCCAGTCCTCTGGTGTCCTCACATGCTCTGCCGTGCTCCAAACCCAGTGTCGTGCCAACCCCTCTTGTTGGGGGTCTTCCTCTCCTCCTCTGATGTTCCACCTGTCCAAGCAAGCTGTCTTCCCCTGAAGAACTGGTATGTTCTAACAACATGACCAAAGTACATACAATATATATTCAACATGCCCACAGTGTATCCACCGTATGTTCAATAGCTTTTGCCAACACCACAATTCAAAGACATGCTCCAGTCTTCCTTTTTCCCTTGTCCAACATGCATAGGAAGCAACTGCAATGCCCCTGGCTTGGATCCGGCGTGCTGTAGCCTATACTGACCTCCTTTCCCTTCAGCACTTAAACAGCAGTCATCTGTCAGTCTGCTGTACTGGCATGACTCGTCTGTTCTGTGAAGCTGGAAGTTATGTGAGTATCTCAAATACTAACAATCACTCGTGGTGGACAGGGTCTAGCAGAGCTCCCAGACCAAGCAGCAGATTGGCCGTGTGCTTCTGAAGTTAACAGGCCTGCCAAGCCCTGTGGATAACTGAAGAGCATTGCTGGATGGTGAGCCCCTCACGCTGGGAGCTACTCAAAATACAACTCATTCCCCACCGCCTCAGAGTAGCTGTGTTGTCTCAAGTCAGCTACCACTCGACAACTCATGAGCACAGGTCTGAACCACAGCTGTCCTGGTCCGCCCAATCCTGAGCCAGCCTCATGATCTGACACATTCCAAGCCCTTGCTCCAGTCCTTGGGTCAGCCCCTCTCACTGAGGGTCTTCCTCTCTCCCACTGACCCGTCCCCTTTCCAGGCACGATGTCCTTCAAGGACTAGTCTCTCCTGATAACATGATAAAGTATATGAGACCATCTATGTGAACACTGATCGCGTCATGGGCACCAGGGCGGGTGACTGTCTGATGATTGTAATGAGCTGTGGTCTTGTCTTATATTTGTGAAACCACCTTCCCGATGTCTCCCATTTCTTCTCTGAACCAGAAAGCGCTTCCCCAAACTCCTATCTGGAAGAGACCTCTCTTGGATGTCGTTACAGACAGGCCAAGGTCCTCATGTGAACAAGGGCTAGGGGTGAAGGCCGAGGCCTGGCCCCTCTCTGAGCCCCGCCCCCAAGCTCCTGCCCCTCCCACCTCTCCAGCAGGTGGCTGTGTCCACTGGGGGCTGTGGGGGGTACAGAGGTGGGCTCTAAGGGTCTGTGGGTGGAAGGACCAAGCTGCTGTCCCACTCTGGCCCTGAACACAGTCAGAGCTGCCCTAGCAGCAGCCTGTCCTCCTCCAGCCGGAGCTTCCCTATGAGCAGGCCCTGGGTGCCATCATGAGCTCTCACCTTTCTTGGCCACTTTCTTCTTCTTCTTCCTCTTGGCATCCTGGGGAAAGAGCCATACAACACATCACTTCCTGGCCGTGATGGGGGCTAGGGGAGAAGCAGGCACATGGTCGATGTTGCCTCTGCAGGGCTCCTACCCTCTTCCAGGCTGGACAGGGTGTGGGCCTCACCTGCTCTGCCTGGCCCACCTCACACCTGAGCCAGGAGCCTGGGGCCCAGTAGCCTCACCACTTGACTGGCCCCGTCTGCTCCCTGCCCCCAGCTTCCCGAGGCGGCTCCCAGGAGCAGGTATGAGGATTCAGTCCCTGCCGAACCCTATTCAATGACCAGGCCCACTGCTGCCACCCTCTCCCCGATGTCCAGGTCTGCTGCCACCCCTTCTCCCCGATGTTGCCCCCCTTGCTCGGCTGAGGATGCTAGAAGGTGATGGAACCCCCTGCCCCTCATACCCTGGCAAATGTCAGCAAGTCTGTCTCAACGGTGCGGATCACCCCAAAGTTACAGACAGTGGACACCACAGCCTCGCCGGCCAGCAGGGCCTCCAGAGAGACCAGGGTGCTTCCCAGCACCTTCAGGATGGGGGGGTCATGCTGGAGCTCCTTGGGAATCTCCTTCTTCTTCTTGGACCCCTTCTGATTCTGTGGGGGAGGCAGAGGCAGGGGAGCTAGGTCCCTGGGCGGCACCCCAGCCCAGGGCAGAGAGCAGGGCCCCAGTGCCAATTACCTTGTTGGCCTCTTTCTCCCCTTTCCCTTTCTTGTCCTTCCCCTTCTGGGCGTCCTTCCCCTTCTGGGTGTCCTTCCTCTTCCGGGTGTCCTCGCCAGTCTTGTCTTTTGTCTCTTTTCCCGGCTTGCCTTTCTTGCCTGGCGAAGTACTCCCCCCTTGAGGTGCAACCAGCGGCCAGGACAGAATCTAGAAATGGCCACAGCATGTGGACAGAACCCAGAGGGGCTGACCACCCCTCACCCTTCTGGAAAGGCACTGAGACCGTTCCCAGGGAGGACCCGAATGTGGAGGGGGCCCGGTGAGCAGGTGAGCACCTGTGGCCCACCTTCTCCTGTACGATGGTGACCGTGGTCCCCGACAGCAGGAAGGCCTTGAGTGCCACCAGGTCGCGTAGTGTGTGAAGCATCTCGTAGTTGCAGGTGATGACGTCACTCCAGGGCTTGGGAACCGTGCTGAAGAGGACTGTCCTGGGGTGGGGAGGGGGTGCTGTGTCCAGGGCCCAGATGTCCAGCCCACAATACCCCGAGTGCACCCGCCACCCGCCACCTGCCACTGCCACCTGTTGTCCACCACCTGCTGCCCCATGTGCCTCTGCAGGTCACACCCCCGGGACCACCCCTTACTCCAGGGGGAGGGTGTGCGCTGAGTCCTGCCCTCTTGTGATGTGTACACATCCCCTCTGCAGGCCCAGCTCCTTGCCAGATGTGGCCTGTGGCTGGTGTATTTCCAGCATCCTGCGTGCAGGACATCCAGACACAAGTGCCCACTCCTCATTAAGTCCCCAGCCCCTCTGCATTTATCTGTCCCTTCCTCCGCAGCCCCTCCTGGCTGCAGGTAGTGGGCAGTAGGTGGGGGACAGTGGAAGGCAGTGGTGGGTGGCAGGGTGGTGGATAGTGCATGGTAGCTGCAGGTGGTGGGCAGTAGGTGGGGGATAGTGGAAGGCAGTGGTGGGTGTCAGGTGGCAGTGGTCATTCCTGGGGTCTCCAGGATGGCTTGACCTCTCTGACTGTGGGGAATCAGGTATGCACCCCAGCTTGCTGCCACCCTGTACCCCAGGACCCCAACACCGCTTTACCCTGGGGACGGACAGAGGCGCGGGTCAATGCGTGGACGCAGCTTGGCCAGCTCCTCGGCCAAGCCCGCAGAGCGCCGCAGGTCAGTTGAACCTGCTGCGGACGCAGAGCCCTCCAGCTCGGGGGACCCAGTCAGCGCCACCGACTCCAGAGACCCCTCGGCCTCCTCAAGCTCCTCTTCCAGGAAGTCCTCGGTGCTGAGGGCCGGCTGGATGATCTGTGGGGCAACACACAGGTCCACAGCGTCCCCCAACAGCATCGGAGTGTCCACTTGGCCAGACACCATAATGGGGGGAAAACCCCACCAGGCCCCCGTACTCAGACTCAGGCAGCGAGCTTAAAATAAGGACCCGGCTCGCCGCTGCATGGCTCCTAGTCACCTGCCCAGCCTGGCAGTGACCGCACTTCCGGGACTCACTTCCAGCCAAACATTAGACAGGCCTAGAGGGTGATCAACAGTACACCTCAGAGGTGTCAACCAGAGGGAGGACGCAGAAGGCAGGAAGGCGGGAGAGAAGGGTGAAAGGAAACAGGACCCACGGTGGGGGGGGAAGGGTCCTACTGCATGAAGTTCCCTGCAGTTAAAGCCAGGAAATAGAGCGAATATCAGCTGTGGAGCAGAAATCCAAGTATCCAACTATCCCTGTGAACTTTCATCCAATTAACAAAATACCCTTAAGACCATCAAGAAGAACGTGAGGCCGACGAGGAGGACACGATATTCAGGGTGGAGGGAGGGGGCAGCTGCCAGCTCACGGGGTCGGCTCCAACCCCAGGGGCTGAGAGTGTCTGCAGCTGGGAGTTACTCTAGCTGCAAAAACAGGGTGGAGTGGGGGCAAACACTGAAGATGTCTGGAGCCCCAAAAGTGACTCTGCCCCCCTGACCCCAACCCCTGCACACCAGCCAGCACCCTGCGGTATCCTGGCCCTGGTCCACGCACCCCGGCCAGCGCCCCGTGGTACCCGATCCCTGGTCCACGCACCTCGGCCAGCGCCCTGCGGTACCAGATCCCTGGTCCACGCACCCCGGCCAGCGCTCCCAGGCACCTCGGCCAGCGCCCCGCAGTACCCGATCCCTGGTCCACGCACCCCGGCCAGCGCCCCGCGATACACATTGGCTTCAGGGTCCTCCTGCTCCAGGAAGTCATAAGTCACGTAGTAAGTGTAGGAGACAAAAGGCCCTTCTGGCCCCGTCTCAGGGTCCAAGACGGAGGCGTCCAGCACCCCCTGGAGGTTCCCGATAGTCACCACCAGCTGCGCCTCGTGGGCTAAGAGGTCTGCAAGGGCAACAGGGCGCGGGCAGCTGCAGGGTGAGGGCCCACCAGCTGCCACAAACCGTCAACTCAGTGAAACGCTGTGTGGTTAGTGCAGTAAAAGCAGGTACGCCTGCACATGGGCGGCACCTGCTGCCTGCCTGCCTGTCCTGTGTCAGAGTGTGTCCAGCTGACCCACTGTCCAGGGCAGGGAGGGGCCCTCCTCCCTCCCTAACATGGGGCTGGCTGTCAGGAACATGTGTCTCCCAGCAGGCAGAGAGAGGGGGCACCAATATAGGGAGCATTCAGTCACCCTCAGCTTTAGAAAAGGGGGCACCAATACAGAGAGCACCCTAAGCCTGAGGAAAGGGCCCCTGGTGGCACTTTGGCAAAAGCATTAGGCCATGGCCAGAAGGTCGGTGGATTGAAGCCACTGTCTGTTCCGAGGCAAGAAGGTGAGACTGTCTCCTTCAGCGATTTACAGCCTCAACCTACAAGTTCTGCTCTGTCCTGCCTGGACCTGGCCAGCTCTTGGGGCCTGGGGACCTCAAGGCCTGGGTGCAGCTCACAGCCAGCAGGGGGTGCTCTCAGGGCACCGAGTGGGGAAGGCCAAGGCGGCAGGACGAGGGTGAAGAGCAGATGACAACTGTCCACATCCCATCAGTGAGGAAGGGACAATGGCCAGCATCTGGCAAAGCAGGACCCAGGGCCAGACCCCCTCCCACCTGGTGCTCCCTCACCCCCGGACCCGCCTGGTGCCCCCTTCATCTACCCAGTGCCCCACACCAAGTGTCCCCTTTACCTGCCACGGTCCTCATCTACACGTGTCCTCTCATCCACCCAGTGCCCCACCATGGCCGGTGCCCCCTAACACAGCAATTGCCTTCTTCATCCACAGGGTGTCCCTTTACCTGGAATCCCCCTCACATGTCCAATGCCCCCTTTATCTACCTAGGACCCCTCCTCGCCTGCCTGGTGGTCCCCCTCTCGCCCGCCCAGCACCCCACCTTGCCCACCCGACGTCCCCCTCTTCCGGCTGGGACTCTCCCTCACCCGCATGGACACTGAGCCCCCGGAACTGGTGCTTCTCGTTGGGAGACACGGTGATGTCGTCGAGGACGCAGAGGTGTGGCAGGCTGTCCACGGCGAGGCCGCGGTAGTAGGGCACCAGCCCCAGCGGGTTCCCCTGCAGGAGCAGCAGTCGCAGCTGCCGCAGGCTCCGCACGGCGCCCAGCATGCTCTGCAGGTCCGTCAGGTTGTTGAAGCTCAGGTCCAGCGACACCAGGTTGGGCCTGCAGGGCGCAGGGCCACTGGGTCAGGAAAGCGGGCACGTGCCCTGCCCCGCCCCCAAGGGTGCCTCCCTGCCCAGCACCCCCACTTGAGTCCAGAAAAGACCAAGGCTGGGGGCTGAGCCTACCGTCTTCTGACCTAGACCTCAGGGACCCATGTGGACTGGCTTCCGAGTTCTCTGCTCACCCCCTCACTGAGGTCAGGGTTACTAGGAGGGCCCCAAGTCCTCCCATGTCACCACTCCCATCACACTGAGGTGCCTCCACGGAGCCTGACCCAGACTTTCACGTCTAGAAGGTTCTCACATTCTTACAGTGGGACGGGAGGAGCAGTGAACGGGTGGGAGGGGCCACCAAACAACCTTTGCCCCCCAAGAAACCTCCCGCCTCAAGTTGGCGTGGGCGCAGGAGCCCACCGTTGGGTTTCACGGCTGAAAATCTTCCTCCCTAGGAACAGCTGGTGGACTTGAACTGCTCAGCTTTTGATTACTGTTTAACACACTACAGCACCGGGGCTGCTTAGTGAGATTAAAGTTAAACAGAAACAAAGCCAGCTGTTCCGCACAGCGTCTGCCACACCCTGGACTTCAGCTCACCTCCACTGGGGGGATTCCACCCCCGAGGGACATTTCTAGATGTCATGGACTGGGGCAGGACGACTGTTACCCAGTGGGTGGACACCAGGCTCGTGGTCATCTCACAGCATGCAGGATGACCCAGGCCCACCGGGAAGCTTCCCCCGTGTCCACTAGCCTGGTTGGGAACCTTCTCTAAGGTGAACACGAGCGCCTGACTCCCTGCCTAGCCCTAACGCTGCCCTGGAGTTCAGGGGGGCTTTCACTGGTTCATGGAAGAAATCGCAGCCCTGGACTGCCCAGCCAGCCAGCAGTTAGAGAAACCCAGCAGAGCTGAGGGGATCCCCCCAGCGGGGACCACCCCCACCCCTCAGGACCAGGGCTCAGGGCACAACTCTGTCCGTGAGGAGAGTGCTCTCCAAGCTAAAAGCTTATGAACGATCATAAAAAACACAGCTGCTGCCTCTTTCTGTCTGAAGGATAGAAAGTGACAACCAAAGACTCAAGACAATTAGCCCAGAGGCCAGCTAGACCCTGCCCACAACCGCCTCCACCAGCCTGAGACCGGGTGCCTGGCCTCACGGCCACACAGCCCCAGCCACATGGCCACAAAGCCACACAGCCACATGGCCCTGGCCACATGGCCACACAGCCCCAGCCACATGGCCACACAGCCACATGGCCCCAGACACACAGCCACGTGGCCACGCAGCCACACAGCCTCTACCTCATGGCCACACAACTCCACGACGCCAGCTCCCCTGTCCCCATGGCCACACAGCCACATGGCCACATCCAAGGGCACCGATCTGGTCAGCATCACAATAGGAGGTGCTGGACAGAATGGAAGCAAAATGAGGAACCAAAGTAACACTACTAAGAAAACACCAGGCTGACCGCTCGGCTAGACCCCGGCCGAGGTCCCCGTGTCCTTCAAACTGGGCAGTGAACTCACCCCATGGTCCACTTTCCACCGAAACAACAGCCAGGCCCACAAACCCTCTGAACAGTCAGCCACCAAGGGCAGAACGCGCCAGCCCTCAATGCACAGAAGGTGGAGGGGGCGGCGGTGAGGCAGGTCCCCAGAATGTGCGAACCCCTCAACGCACAGAAGGTGGAGGGGCGGCGGTGAGGCAGGTC